ACGAAGCCGATCCGGGACTTTTTGAACACCCGGTTTATATGATTGTATTGATCAGGTAATTAATAGATCTAATTTTAAGATGTATTTTAAAATTCAAGTTAAACCTCAGAGTAATAAAACAAAAACTTTTGTTTTATTACTCTGAGGTTAAACTAACTACGCTCACGTTTTCCCCTAGATAAAAATACAACTTGACCAATAATATATGTTAAGTTAAGATGGAATTTCGGTAAATAAGTACAGTTTTACTATACGTTTTGCAACCATATGAACAAACTTTGTCACGTTATTCAGCATGTCATTGTCAAAAGAAACAAAATAATCTAATATTATAACATATTATAATGTAATAATGTAACATGTGTCCAGTCTCATTCAGTTTTCGGTATCTGTATGTATGTGTTTTTTTTACAAAAACGTAGACAATTTTATGCAGATTTCAACGATATCTTATAACCTTAGTTTAGACAAATAATAACTGAAAATATAACGTTTTTCTTGCTATACCAACAGTTTTCTCCATTTAAACAATATTAAAAAACTACTTTTAAAAGAGGGTTTATTCATATTTGCACAATGATAGTGCCAATAAGATAACCATTTTTGCAGAATTTAAACACTGTAACTCAAACCATCAAGGATGTATGCATGATTTTGTAAAAAAAAAAAAAAAACATACAGACGGATAGACCAAACACGGAGGGAGGACACATGTTATATTTAATTTTGGCTTTTTTTGACATGCTAAATAATGTGACAAACTTTGTTCATATGGTTGCAAGACACGCTACATTACTTTATAGTTTTATTAAAACCCACGAATACTAGAAAAATACTAGTAACCGTGTTAAAACCCATATATTGAGTAGTATTTATGAATTCAAAGATAAACAAAACGGATCGACATCGACTAACAGTTTTGGAAGTCTCTTAATGATCACTATGACGAGATCAAAGCCTTGTTTGATTTGAGTCTGGACTTGTCAGTGACACGGACTGGTTACAAAGCAAGCGAAAAAGCAACGTCAATCCACATGTTTATTTAGTTTAAGAGTAAAGCTTTTTTATGGCCTTATCTGTCATCGAATTTTAAAAACAGTGTATCAACAACTGATGATGTGACTGTTGTCAGGAAACTGGTCGTCGCGAGAAGAAAAGAGGATATTGAACAAGGTAACAGTTTATTTTATTATTTAAATATTTTAAATCCTTAATATCCACTAGTAGGAAAATTAGGCTAACTCTGTATCAACAACGTTTTACAACATTTATGACCATGTAAAAATATTCCTTTTTGTTTAATGAATCAGTATACCAAATTCCTTTCAAATTTCCAATATAGGGAATGAGGTATTACCATAGGTCTTTTGGGTAAGACCTAGACCCGGGACCGCTTTACTTTTTTGTTTTATACTAATTGGTTTCCCATGATTTTTAAACGGATAAATTAATATAAATGATTGAAGATAAATAAAATGTTGTATTTTGTTACGGATATTTTTCTATCAAATTTGGTAAACTAATTTATTTACAGTATACTAAAGCTAGTAACATTTCATTCAAAAATAGGCCAACACTTTATTGCCTTCCCTATAGCAAATAGCAGCTAACCTAAGTAGTCATAAATTAAAACAGAACATAAAAATTACAATTTTAAGGAAACATTTGAGTGTAAATCCAACTAGGAAATTCGCTTATTTTGCCAGAGATTGCTGCAGCAGGGGGTATGTTTACTGTACCTGTTTGCTTTAAACCTTTCTAGAACGGAAAACATCTAAAAAGAATGATAAGTCCACAGGAATCTCTCTCTTATTCCTGCAAACGTTTGCAATTCACCGTAAGTACCTATTGTTGGAAAGTATTATACATGCACAAACATGTTCAGTTAACATTTTTAATGGATTCCGTTGGTGGTTGAATCTTACAATAATTGATGCTACATATTTACAAAGCACCCTCTAGCGAGGTCAAAGTTTGCTGATGAATAATTTAACTCAGTTCTGCTATGAACATAAAGTTGTCGATTGATTCTCGAATGGTGATTTCGCACTTAACTACCACAAGTTTCAGATTTACACCGGTCGCCATTACGTAGGAAGTTTAGTTAGTGACCAATCACATCTTATTCTGCAATTCCGGGAATGCATTATAAGCAAGTAAGAGGACTGAATTAATACAGCTTACTATAAACAGGTCTAGAACAATAACCATGCAACAACAGTTAAGGGACTTGTTTCAGTGGTTTTAAAAATATTGTACCCAAAAATGTAAAAAAGTCATAGGAGCAATGTCATTATATTTATCTGGGTTATGGCTATAAAGGTAAGAAATAAATTGGCTTAAAACTATAGTAGGTATCATACAAATCGTTTAAATTACTATAGAGTTATATAGCACATGGTATTGTTTTATGATAGAGAAGTTAAAAAAAATGCTCTCTTTATTTTAATTTTTTTTTATTATCCTTTACATTGGCTGTAAGCATATTCAACACAATGTCCTACCAGTTTTAAAAATCATTAAAATGTAAAAATATTGATGAGCGAAAGATGAAACTATCAAAAATACTAGCAGTTTCATAACTCAGACACAATATTGAGGTAGCATCTGGTACCTAACGTTTCTGTAATACAGTGGAAATGGTTACAGGAAGCATTACCGGATGTGAAGGTAAACCTTAAACCGTGCTTTACTCGTAACCTCTTTTAGACGATTGCTGTTCTATATCAAAACTGTTCACATCAATTCGAGATTAAGTAAAAACGGCCTTATACTCTCGAGAGTTATTATCAATGCACAATTTAACGATTTAGTTTAGTTAGTAAATGTATGGAAACCAAAATAAAGGATGACAAACAAAAAGATAAGAGTCAGAAACAAAGTTTGTGACTATTTGTTTTTGTGGTTTTGTACTCGTCGCTCTTCTTCTTCACAAATTAAAAAAACATTTCAATTTAGATGTGCCTGAAAGGAAAGTTCCATCAGGTGGATTGAAGGAGACGAATGCATTCTCTTCTAGGACGGTTGGTTTGTCCAGGGTGACGTAAATCAAGGAGAAAAGAGAACCAGGATGGCAAAGGGGTTTGAATCCTTGTTTGTGTAACAGCCCTCATGCTTAACTGATAGATGGAACCAAAAAAAGTGAATTTGTGTGGTTGACTAGACTAGTAAATCATGATTTTGGCACAAAAGAGCTAGAAACGTCTACGAATATTTCCACACATGGAGCCACCAAAAATCCAAACAAACCGTTCTTTGAACTTACTAGCGGATAAAATCTCCTTAAACATTAACATTGCTTTTTAACATAATTCCTTACTGCCTTTATTTAACCTAGTCTAAAATTGAATCGTGTTCGATTTTAAACTCTGACGTGACCATGTGTGTCGAAGAATCAAGATTTTAAGCTTCAAGTTCTGGATAGGCTTCTACCTTCCGTAGCTATAGTTTGTTTTGTCTCCCGTAAAAAATGTGCTTGTTTTGTCTTGTAAAATTTTCAGTTTATGTTACCCAGTCAAATGTTTTTAAATTCAATTATGTTTCCTTGTCCTTGCGAAACAAGTTAATTTTAGCTGGTTTTAATGCTCATTAAGGTCCCCTGAAAGTTTGAGTCAATTTAGTTAAGAGACAATTTAGTTATGAGTATTTGAGTGTTTGGCAGTTTTGGTTAAGGTCGAAAATACTGAAATTTGGGTTTTTAAATTGATTGTTATACTTCATTTAACATAGAACCAGACGGTATCGGTTTAAATATCGAATCAAAGATGCAAAAGGTCAAAAAAATGATTTTGTTACCCTCTGCACGGTCTGAGAAAAGGTACCTCTTGTCGCTCAATGTTATTTTCCCATAACGACAAGAGGTCCCATTTCTAATATTCACTTTACAAACAGACTTTAGTCCAAAAAATGAATTGTCCTGCATTCTAGTGGAAACTTAAAGAACTACGGTACAACAAAGTTTAGTCTACGAAGAACAAAATATCTCACCAATGTTGCGGTCCCGACAAGAGTTTTATGGAGAAACAACACACTACTTTAAGTTTAATGGATTAATAGGATCACACTTCTTTGTGTTAGAGAGAAATAACATAACAGGCGGTCCCTTTTCTGAAATGTGATTTTTATGATTTTTATGTTATTTTTTGCTTTCCATATCAAATTTAATGTGAAGAAAGGCATATGCAGATAAAAGCATAAATTTCTTTTAATTTGATTCCGTGAATATGTGCAAAAATGAGTTTTGATAAAATAATACAAAAGAAAAATCATACATTATGCTTTCTTTAAACATGTTCTTAACAATGAGACACATTGGGGAAAAATTCTTTATTGGTTACAAATAAACTTAAAATTGATTATCTCTAACAAACATGTTGACAGACCTAAAGCTGGGAACGTTTCCTGAACAAAGGTTTTGTTTGTTTCAGAAAATATTATCCTAGTTTCCTTCTAGATATTTTGTTTTTGATGGATTAACTGTTTTCCTCAGTTCTTCTCAATTTTGAAATATAAATGAATGAAAATGATATATTATGGCTTGTTTGTACAATAAGTTTCTGTTCAGGAAAGATACATTAATTTCAATTGCTCATTTGTAAAACCCAAAAAATGGTTTATACATTGAACATTACAAAATTTACAAAACTTCTCTTCAAGAACCACAGGTTTTCGGTAAGAAATTTATGCCAAGTCCCAAAGGATTAAAAGTTAATTTTACTACATGTAAAAAAAAATGACATAGAAAAATACACTATACAAGTGATGAATTAGCACCTATTGAAGTTTTGGTACATATTATACTTTTTACCAACGTTAAATTTCATGACAAAACAAAATTCTTTCAAGGCAATTTATTTTGTCATCAAATTGAAAGTTTGTCAATAGCTTTATTTAAGTTAGGAAAGTTGTTCCACAGTTGGTATACTTTACCCTTTTATACTCACAGAAATATAATATCAATATTTTTGCAAGAAAAGTAATAGGGAAAATGACAAAACTGATTTTGCAAACACAATATTTTATTGATAAAAGTCACTAACAAAGTAGGCCTTAGAAAACACGAATAAATGGAAGAGAGCATCAGGTGCTAGATTTACATTGTTTACTTTAGAACCTCTTTAGCCATGGTCCCTCTTGGTCGTTTACTATATACATCCTTCATTGGTGGTTTGGTTTGGTTACATTTACCATTATTTCTTCTTTGCTTCTTCCTTAGAAATAAATAAGTCTCAGAAGAATGAAATGCATTCTTTACTTTCAGTCGCTAGTCCCACAAAACGGGATGAAAACAATAAGGACTAAAACAAAGACAAAAATTGATAAAAAATATAGGTAACAACTTTTTGTGAAACAAAAGCATAATGCTATGCACTAGTTAACGTATAGCGATGTATACAATGTATTTCATAAGTTTGAAAGTATTTTATGGTAAAATTGGCACATATAATACTGATATTTTATGATTTGAAGCATTGAAAATAACTTACTACACTACATCTATGAATAAAATTATTCCGATTTTATATAAATATCATATACACAATACTGGGATTTAAGTTACTTTGTGCATTTAGTAAGACCGTGTGCTTGCATGCACATATAAAAGCTACAGAGAAAATGTCAACATTCACACCAAAAACTTTAATTAATACTGTATTTAGGGAAAAATAAATAAAAAAACAGTAAAAATTTTAACAAAATTACACTATATGTTTAGGTGTGACAATAAAAATAAACACTGTAGTATCACAGTAGAATCACAAAGATCTAACTTAATTAATCCTACAATTAAATTGTATAACTGGAAAACAAGTGTTATTTCTATCCTTTAGGAAACACTCATAAAGTTATACTTAAACAGCTTATATTTTTAAAGACTAGAAAATGTAAATATTTAACATACTATAAAAATTTTATCACACGCTAACAAATTTCCTTGACTAAAGAAACTGACAACAAAAAGGGTCTAGTATATTATATACCTTAAAATTATTGAAAGTTGTTACGTAAAGCAAAGTGGATTAACATCTTTTATGTATATCACCACAATTGTATACTTTATAATTTAAAAACTATCAATACACAACAACATATAAACAAATCCTAAATGTTTAACAGAACATTACAACAAGAAAATATATTTCGCAAGCAGCATATAGACAAGTCAAAAACTTTTGCCCATTGAAAGGAGTTTTCAATAAAAATATAAAACAACAAATTTCCCTCTTACATCTGAAAAATCGATTTTCGCAAAGAAGAAATAACCTGTCATATAAAAAAGATTATATCGTAATGATTATGATAAAAAAGTTATGAAAGTACCTAACACTTATTTTGGGGGTCAACATTAATAGTTTAAACTTTAATTGAACTTTAACATTTACTATTGAAATTTTTTAGTGGACAGACATTTTGTTTGGTTTTTAAGAAGCAAGTGTTTCAAGGCAGCATACTGAATGGATTTATCTAAACAGTTTTAGATAGGATACGCCACATTGATTGGAACACAAACTAATAGGAAATAGTGGATTTAGTAGAGCAAGTTATGTTAAGCTCTGGACTCAATGTAACAATGACTGGAGCTCCCATCTACAATACACTTAATTAATAGCACATTCAACATAAAACAGATGTTATACAATGCTTAAAGCTCAGTACTGACATTGCTTAACAGAAGGCCTTTTGTCTAACAATACTAACACCAGAGGCATTATCAATTATTTTTCAGATTGCAGAAGTGTAGATTTTAGAGTTGAAGAACTATTGCAAAGAAATGTAAGTGATAAAATAGATAAAAAAATTGTATGTTGAAAATTCTTTTCAATAAAATTTCAACAGTGTACTTCGGTAATTCTTTTATCAATTGTACAGCTTACAATTAAATGTAAACAAAACGAGGCTCGACCAAACGTATTTATTGTTCCAAATTTGGACCCAGATGAGCTTTTACTGTACTAAGGAACAATTACATCTAATTCGTTGTCAAATTATTACCAAAATGTCTGACCACTTCACCAACATTCATTTGGCACCTAGGATACATTTAAAGTTATAAACACTATTGAAATGTTAAGCATGATTTAAAAGTGATGGTTGGTTGGTTTACTTGAACAGGTTGAGATGATAGCACCTCTGTCTGAGCTCCATAGAACACCTACAACAGATATTAAGACAAATAATGAATATAAAAATTATATTTCAAAATTAATGTTAATTTTTGGTGATGGTGACTAAAAATAGAGTTTTTTATTTACATATAATTTGTCCCAATAAAAAGTACAAACATCTTTCAAATCTGTTACCGACAGAACACACTTTACAGTTTATTTGTGGAACAAACTATGCTGGGAGGATGAGCTAAGACTTTTCAATATCTACAACCTTATAAAAAAAAGATTAGCCTATAGCAATAATTTCAATAATTAATTTTTATTTGTAACCACATGACAAAATACTAACTTAGGGATTTAGTCACAAGTATATTAATACTGCTTGGATGACTACTAGCTTAACCAAACATTACAAAACATCCTTTTTTTCCTAAAAAAAAAAAAAAAAACTTTCAATAATGTTCAAACAATAACAACTAACATTTCAGATGTGAGGGCAATTAGTTAGTAATCTGATGGTAAATTAACTGGGCAAGTTGGCGAGTCCAACTCCAGGTAACAATAATGTCTGACTTATGGCACAAGTTGCGCCGTTGAATACAGCCTCGGATTTACTGGCGAACCTCGGTGAAACGGCCCAAGTTGTAACACAGCTGATATTACTTCCAATAACTACCCGGCTTTGGCTGTTCAAACTTCCCACAATAACTCACGTAGCCGCAACTTTCAAATATACCAAAGAACCGACATTATCATTATTAAATGCTCTTTAGGGGGTAGCACTTTGCAGTTAAGTACTTAGGATGATTAATAGATAATTAAGTAATGTTATGGGTAATAATGGCACTAAAGCACCCCACGTGAATGTAAAAAATTTGTTAATCTAAAAGTAACTTCAATGTATCATAGTAATAAAAGAGTATCAACTGCAGCCAAATTGCACTGTGTTATCTTTGATTTTGGACAGTGAAACAATGGATAACCTAAACATAGAGGGTATATTTCAATTTTAAATTACTTCATTTCTAAGAAATTACTATTGATGCCTAAAGACTGTAAAAAAATATGTTGAGTTAAAACATGCAATCTTTAAACTTAAAAGTTAATCTAAATTTAACTTTATACTTGAGAGAGAAAACAAAAACCAAATACTATGTTAGTGATTCATCAAAATAAATATATATTTTTGTTGTTGGGTATGATTTAAATTGACAAATATTCTTGTATATAAAAAGATTTTATGTTGCAATACACCTTTTTACTTTTACTAAATAGTAGATTACTGAACAAATTTAAAACGATACAAAGAAAACAGTTTAATACACCTTTATAATTATTCTTTTATATGTATAGATTACTACCTTATATATGTGTAAGCTTAGAAAAAAAGTGGGGTTGTTGAACCTCACAGGCTCAAGTTTTATGAAAAAAACCGTCCAATGCAGGCCAAAGATTTTTAAAATTTATCCCCAAAAATATAAAAAAAGAAACAGATTTTAATAAGTTTAAAAAATTACTCAAAGATTATATATTAAATTTAGCTATTTATTCTATGGAAGAGTTCTCCACCTCCCTGACATAGGTAGCATTAAGTTATTTTAATTTTGTATTTCATTCTTAACTAACTAAAGACTTGTTGTTATTATTTTACAGTACTTGTTAATATTTACTAATATCATTGTAATTGTATTTATTTTTATTGACGCTATTCATTGTACCCCCTTTGTACAAAAATATGAATAAAGAATATGAATACCTGTGTCAGTCGTTTTATTAAGTGCATGCCTCAAAAAGGTATTGACGATAACATGGACACTTTAAAGAGCTGTAGGGCGAAAACTGGATTTTCCCCAGCCTTGCGACCAACTCCTATCTATTTCTCGTGGCCAAAAACTTCATGATAAACAAAAAATCAAACATTTTTGGACGAAAAAAGTTTGTCCCAACACCATATTAGTATGTTTCAGATTATAGGATAAAAATTCAAATAATTTGAGTGATAAAAATGTTGAATGATCAAAATAAATTGTCATTCATTGTTAACTTTACATTCACTGACAATAGGACGGATAGTGAAACAAAGCTAATAACGATCTAATATAGTCTGTGATTTTGATGAACTGGTTTTCGCGTTTTAGGTTATGATAAAATAAGATTAAGAATTTTATAACGATAAACCATCTTACCCCAAGACACAGCCCCTCCTCATTAGAGATGCTCTCGGGTTCTTCTTATTTCACAAATACCGATTCTCCCAGAAAGAGTCTAGTCCGATATCATCTGCAAAAGCAAACAGGGTTTCAACTTATGAAAATGTGCCAATAAAAGAATTGGATGGTGCTGAAATAACATTATGTACACCTTTTACACCCGTTATTACTCCTGGTGTATATTCTGCAAAATTTACTCCTGATGAAAATTTTTTGATTTTCAACACATTAGAATAATTTATGGGAGAAATTTGAATGGTTTGTTGGATTTTGATTTATTTGTTGAACTTTAAAATCTTTTAAAGCATGTGGGGAAAATGACTAACCATGTCTGATAGTATCAAACCAAAAGAAACTACAAAAAATTTAATAAGAAAAAAATCAATTGTTTTAAATTAAGTGTATTGGGTTATTGGTTAAAATTATGCGTTTGTATGATTTTTTTAATTAGATTTTTTATTTTAATTCCCAGATTTTAAGTTTAAAATAATTAATTTACTTCTTACTTTACTAAGGATGGTATTTGCAAAATAAAATAAAGCCGAAAAAAAAAAAAATTATTGGGTTACTTCTCGGCATTATTGATGAAAATTCTACATGATACAATAAAGAAAACTCTATAGAGGCAAAACATGCCCCTATTGTGAGTGTTCACGCAACATGTGATAGTCCCTGCAGACAACTTGAATATTCTACAAGCTCAAACATGTTCTATTATAGAGGGAACAATAATCAATAAACTTGTTGTGTTATATAAATTAATTAAAGTTTAAATTGTTATTAATAAAAGAATAAAAATCTTTGAACCAACGTAATTATTTAGTTTTTTTGTAAAATTAAAATATAAATTAGTTAAGTTCATTTGTAAAAATTGTACGTGTTGCGCATCCAAAGCAAATGAAATGCTGACTTTTGTTAGATTTTCAACAATTACCAACTAACTTATTTTAAATTTTAAACGTGATTTAGCAAGAACAATTTTTAAACGGCAGAACCTGAAAACAAAAAAAGTATTGTACAAGATGAGCAGAAGTTAGCCAGACCATTTTTATCCAGTCAACAACATTTTTATCCATTTCACCTGCAAACAACAGTTCAAAACCTGCAAAAAATTAAACAAGTTAAAAATATTCTTCTAACATCCGTAGGCCAAGAACATTTATAGCCTATCACTGCTTGTATTAAATTTTTTTATTGTTACTGGTGACTCCAACTCGGGCGAACAGATTATATTTTTCATTTTTGCTATCCATGATGATGCTACAATAGAATTGAAACATTATGTGAATAATAATTCCAAGGGACTGTTCAAATGAACAGCATTTATTGGTCATGCTGTAAAATAACAACAGTGGAACCTCGATAACACGTCACCCTACATAGCAAGTGTTATTTTAAAAACACTTGAATTTATTTTACCCCTTAGGTAAGAAGTCAACCTTGATAAAAAGTCTTATTTAACCCATGAGAGCCTTGTTACCGAGGTTCTACTGTAATTACCCAAAGTAAGAAATAACATTTTGATGTTGCTAAAACCCACTTTACGGAAGGAAAGTAAAGGTTAAAAACATAATAGAAATGACAAAGTTTTCCGTTAAAGAAGGAACATTGCGGCAAAGTTGACAACTCCCCTCACCGAGCAGTCACAAACAGCTGAGAAACTTTCAAACTTTCAACAGTCCCAACTCTAAAAAGAGGATATTAAGATTTCCCTGTATTGGTTAAAGTTTTGAAAGAGGAAAAACAAAGTGGCCTGTTTAAAAGTTTTGGAACCCAGTGGCTAGATTTTGATTATCTTGAAGATTAATCTACTTATTTTGATTCAAACAAGAGATCCGTATATAATTTAAGAATTGCAATTTTAATTTAAATCATAAATGAATAACATTTTAATGCTGCAACACAGACATTGTCTTGAACCTGAAAGAACACATTCTCTATTCTTCTTTTAACAATGTTTTAAAATGGATGCAACATCTATATATAAAGCGATGTCACACAATTGAAATTTAAAAATTAGCATTAAAAACATAAAATGGCAGCTTATTCAAGATTTAGTTTACTGCAAACGAATGAGCAAGCATAGTTCTGAAATACTAAAAGGAAACATAACTTTACTGATCTCAAATGAGAGGTTGAGGAAAATTTGGGATCAAAGTGATAAAGTGGAATGGGTATAGTAATTAACAAATTATGTGCACGACTGTGAATTCAAAGTTTTAACAGATTTTTGTCCACATTATTATTATCATTATCATTTTTGTCATTATTAACATATATCAAAGGTTCAGGGTTTTTACAACAGAAATTAAAAGTTTTATTCATCAAGCAGAGTTGACATGATTACGATTTGTGACAAGGATTTAAAGAATTTCAGTTTACCTCAATGTATTTCCCTTAAAATTCTCAGTATCATTACAATTACAATTACAGTTAGCCACCCAAAAACACAATTACAATGTCAAATAATACTTAAACAATTTGTTGAAAAAGCACAGTTAAATACAATACACTGTAAACAATCTGTGGCATTAATCATCGAACATGTAAACATTTTTAATCACTTCTCTTTGCGCAGGGAGAATAACTACCCATTACTGGTAATATATACTGGATTGAGATGAGATCCGAGCAAACACAATAATTGAGTTACGGAGTCAGCCCGGCTGTCCATATTGGATTACTGTGTCGGCTCAGCTACCATTCTAATTAAACTTTATTGCAACTGGATAAGCTTTGGTAATATTTCATTATTAAATTTTATTCCTATTCTTTAAACACAACTATTGGAAGTCATATAATTAGTGAGGGAAGGTTTTTAATTGTGTAAAACATAATTTATTGTGATTTTTAATGGAAAAGGGAAGGGTACTCCTAAAGAATAACTATTTAGTATTTATTAATGCTTGAAATTATCTATACGGTACTCCTTTCAGTGTACCCCTTTTCAGTTATGGTTAAAGACAGTTTTGATTCAGGACATGCCTTTTCTTTTATTTCCTTCGCTTGGTCTCATATAGAGATTAAATATGGGCTAATGTTAATAAAAATCATTAAGTATTATAACCTACTTCCAGAGGATTTAATTTAGTAACACAATTAGCTGGAGATTATCTCTTTACCCAGCTAAAAGAAAACCAAACAGCATTTAAACAGTGTCAACTCTCAAAGTCCCACAGGGGACGAAATATTGTGTGTACAGTGTATTTTCTACATGTTCTATGGTCTACCTACACTTTCAAGGTAAGCTAGCTGCTCTCCTCCGTTTTCTACAATTCAGAAGTGTCAACTCTCAAATTATCTAGACACAACAACAAGGGTTCTTGTATGATCCAGCAAAACAATGACAAACTGTTTTCCAAACATTTGTATAGATCGTCTAATCAGAGCTTTTATGATCTTCTTGGTGTTTCTGCTGATTGATGCCAAAATTTGCATTTGAGTACTGCATGTAAATCTTTTTCAAGATAGCCTGTATATCACGAAAAAAGAAGAATTATGTTTCAAATCTAAAGGTTAAGGCAAATAATAGAGCTATGAAATTTATGACAGCCATAAAAGCCATCTTCCATCAGTAGAACTTTGCTTACCTGAATACCAATTGAGCTTAAGTTCACCAAAATTGGTTATTGTTATTATCCATCAGATTGGAAGAATTGAAGTAAATTTATTTTTACAGATGATTCACTTAAATTATAGATACTTTACATACATTATTAGAAAAGACCACTAATGTATTTTTTCACTGGATGAAACTAGATTAAAATGTTACCCAATGCTATATTGCCTGAAAATTTATATACTCAGATTAGCAGAGGTCTACTAAACCTAGACGATGTGTAAATTAGTTATTGTACTCAATACACAGCAAATGAAACCAGCATCTGAAAAAATATTGTATTAGTCATGAATCCATCCACACAATAACGATAAACATAATTTTGCCATTGGTAAAATTAAATCAGCATATTGCCCTTCTGAAAACACTTGCAAAACAAAAAAACAAGGCATAAAAAAACACAGCATGCTGGCTGATATACACAGCTTGTAATTTAAGCACGAGCAACACAAAGCAAACCAAGAAAATATAATGGACAACTCAACTCTTTATCGGGACATTTATAATCCTAGTACAAGAACTTTCCATCATGCAGAAATAAAAGAAACAAGCGAGAAAAAAACATGTATAAATAATGCTAACTATAAATTCTTAGCAATAACTTAGCGTTGTAATTTAAGCTGTCCTTTATGTATTGCTTTAGTTATTATTAGGTGTGTTTAGTTATTTTTATGTACAATTTAGGGAATTTATAATTAGCATTGACGACAGATTCTAACGGAGTTTAATTGACACACATCGAAATAAACTAAAAGATTTGAAGTTTATTTTATCAGTAGCAATATTGAATGATGTTTACCTTAAAATGATTTGTCTTTCCTGGGCCAGTTTCTTCTTTCAGCTTTTTATCACGATGTCTTCAAAGATTTAGACCACTTATTTGTGGGGTTCTCTTTAGTTATATCACTATTATTATGATTTATCCTGGAAGAACGCATGTTTTAACCATATTCACTGTTGAACATTTGCTGTTTGTCATCTTGTTTGGTTTAGTGGATTCCCACAAAGCACAGGTCTGCTACTTAACTGCAAGATTATCAGGTTTTGGTTTAGTTAGTTCCGTTCCAAACCATTATGTTTCAAACCTGGTGCTTGTTTAGTGATCTTGTACTAATTACCAATTACAAGTTTTTGTTGTAACATGTATTTAACAAATTTTTTACATATTAATGTTTCTGCTATTCAATTAGGTAAATTATTTTATAGAAACATATTTGTGACCATGTTAAGATCATTAGACATATTCTAACTTTATACAACAGAGTAGTAGTTATAATAGACACAAAAACATATTTTTTTTATTTTCATTGTGAACAATTATTTAAAATAAATGTTAAATGATGATACAAACTATGCCTTTTCATGGATATCATCATTCAAGATACATAATTATGGCATTTTATTTCATATAATATATTTTTTGTTGTAGGCTTATTATTTAAATTTTTCTT